TGGGGGCGCGCGGCGGGGACGCTCTAGCTGCCCGCCCGCCAGCGCGCTCCATGGTGAGTCTGCCCGGCGCCATCTTGGGCTGGTGACCGGGCGCGCCGGAGAGGGACAAAATGGCCGAGGGCGGCGGAGCTGCGCGTCCCGGGCCCTGCCGCTGCGCCCCCGCCGGCGCTTCTCTGCCCGCCGGCGCTGCCTCGTCCCTGCCCCGACCGTGGCGGGGCACGGACTGTGGTGGGGCTGGGCGGCCGCTGCCAGCTGCCACCGCAGCGCCGGCAGGAGGGCAGGGGGCGGCCGGCTCCGCTCCCCCGTGCCTCCCGCGGCAGCGCTGGGGGTGCACGGCCCTTCAGCCCCCTCCGAGGTCGCAGCCGGGCTGCGGCGGTCTCGGCTGGTGCCGTGGTGCCTCTTCCTCCGTCCCCCAGCCCGGTTAGGTAACGTCTGGGTAGGGAAGGAAAACGCCGACCCGGTAGTAGTCTGAGCCTTTGTTATATTCTCCAAAGCTGCATTGCAATTCGCTTTTGGTGAACTACTTTCTAATTAGAGCTCCGATTTGCTGCTCCTCGCGCTTGCTTGTAAAATATTAACTCTTGAAGCTTCTTGATGTAGTTGCAGCCTTGCATCCAGGTGGCTTGGCCTCTTAATTTAATTTAAATGCGATTGCAGTAGTCGAAGGGTTAAACCTCAAGCTGAACGCTCGCAGTGCTAGGCCAGTATCCTTGCTTTGTGAAACCTACAGTACACGTTCTTTTAAACTGCATAGTTGCTGGAAGATGTTACTGTCTGGATGGAATTTTACTAATATCGCAGTAGATGACCTGCTAAGCTTCACGTTTGTAATGTAAATCTGCAATACAGATTACCTATGGTTGTTTTTTCTTCAGTGAATCAGTCTTGTTTTCCTTTGAGGTCTTTAATTTTTATTAACAACAGACAAGTGCAGTGCAGGGGTCAATACTGTGTTTTGTTTTATTTTTTCAGCATCAGTTTGTAAGATTCTAACTTACTGCAGCATCAGAGGGAGTTGTGGAGGTGATAAGTAGTTTAAATTTTAAACCTTCACTGGAGGTGGCAAAAAAAATGAAAGAGAAAGTCATAGTTCTGAGCACAAAATTGCAGTGTCTTGTAGTGTCTTTCTTCGAATATGGCCATATCTTATTCAGATTCACTGTCATCTTTAATGGTATGAGTGTTTCTACTTCAAGGTAGGTTAGGTTAGAAAAATTTGGTCTTCAGGAAGCTAAAAATAGTAGATGGAAATGAACGATGGAAGATATATCGATGAAAGAATGGACTCGTGCCACCCCCAGTATTATCTTTTCATTGAAGTCTTCATGTCACTGTTACAACTGGTATATTTTTAGTGAGGGAGTATTGCTTCTGACTTGCTCAAGGTGGATTTCTGTGTGTTAGGTTTTTTAAAAAGTTGATTTAATTGCTATTGTGCAAGTTGGACTGAAAAACAGTTTAAGATGGTAGCCTAACTTTACTCAAGTTTGCCAGGATAACCTGCATTGTATTTTCAATCAGAATGAGTGGAAGTATTAAAACTTTTGTAGCAGTCTTTTTGAAACATAATTGTGCAGGGAATGATAGGACAGCAGTTGCTGTCCCACCTACTTTTCTATTTTATCTTTTCTATACTTTTATTAAAAAAAATACATGAATCATGTTCAGGCAATCTTCACCAAGGCTTAAAATGAGTTATGCCTGAACTTTTGTGAATCGTAAATAGGTAAGTTGTATGCAATGTATGTGTTTGTAAAACCAAAAGATAAAACCATAGAGCTACAAGCCTGCTATTTCAGACTAGATCAGGGAGTGGCTTTTCTAATGTGATTGCCAGTGTTATTTATGATATTTTTTGTTTACTTAAGGCTTATATTTTACTGAGTCAATGGCTTTCTACTTTTTCAACCTGGAAGTGCTGAAGTCTCTGCAGAGTAGAGACAGTGTTTGGATAACTAATCTAGCATATGACTTTACAACTGTCTGTTAAGCTGTTCCAAGTCCATGCAGCCAATAAGAATTGTGCTTCTGAAAATGTGTTCCCGCTTTCTCCCTTGTGCTAGTATTTGTACAGTCAGTCAAATCTGGGAATTAAATCAGCTGAAATTTTTTTCTGATTCTGTTTCCAGCTGCATTGGTTTGCAGGCTTGACTTGATTGTGTAGCCATGAGTCCTAATATCAGCATTGGGGATGAAGAAGAAATACCAGGTGCTTTCACAAGCAATGGGACTTGCTATTTCGGCAGCAACACAAACTTAAACTGGTTTATGTCACAGTTTAAAAAGAAAAAAAAAATCCCCAGTCAAATTCTTTTATAGTTTATACTCCATAGTGGGATTGAACTCTGGAAACTTTTTTTAACTGAAGAGACTAAATTATTAAATGCTACCAATACTTCATATACTGTCAGTATGTTGTAATAATTGCCACGTTTTTCCAAGTCACTTTTGTTTTCATTCATTGAAATTGTGCTCGCTGAGGTGCATGTGATTCAGGCATGGAAGGGTTGGAAAGAAGACTAGTTAGAGGAAAAAATAGTCTCATCCTGTGAATTAGTTAATACTGATAGTGATTATTTGGTATGTGTCTGATCAGAAACTGTTTAATATGGTAGTCGGGTTTTTTGGTTTTTTTTTTAATCAGCGTAATTTGAATGGTATAAATGCTCAATTTATAGATCTACTTACAAGGTACTTAACACATATTTTCAAAAATGCTGACTTTACTACTAAGTTGTGGAAGAAAGTCTAAGAAAGCAGTTTCAAAAGCTTAGAAACAATCTGATAGCTTGATGCCACCAAAAGGATAGGTCATTTTCTGTGTTCCTCCTTCATCAGCTGGCACTTGGTCGGACTTCTTGGTGGGTTGATTCAGTACCCTAAGTTGTCAGATAATAGTTTGCTTTTTGCTGATGGATAGTTTCTTGCCAGCTTAGTGCACTGAATGAGCCCACAGGGTCAGCATGAGTGGCAGAGGTGGTGGGAGGAAGCTGGGCTTCCATGCTCATGGTCTGTTAGCTTGATTTTTTTCAAAACACATTCTTGTCTTTTTTTTGGTGGAGTTTGGAAACTGTTGTGGAAAGGGGATGTTCTGCTTTCCCTCTGAGTGGATTTGCAGTCCCGTCCCGTGTCGTCCCCCCCCTCCCCCCCAGCAGTGATCTGATCTGGTGACTCTGTGCTTCAGGGGGAAGAGAGGCAAAAGGTGTTATTTTTCTGTTGGATCAATTGCTAAATTCAGTAGTAGAGAGGTTGAAGGAATGTGAAGATAGCACAATTATACCTTGAATAAACCTGACTGCAGATTTGGGAATGTGTAATGTGAGGCTGCACCCTTCCTTAGGAAAACAAGTGAAAATATGTAAGTTTGTAGGGATTTAGGATTTAAAAAATACTAATAATTTTATTTGCCTGTATCTTACATTAAGTAACTGAAATCTGTAACTTGTATTCCCATGAGGAAAAACTGGTTCTCAGAAGTGCAAAGAACACATGGTCCTCGCTTAAATTACCTTGCAGCTGCTTCTGTCTGGAAACCTTTTCTACCTACTGCCCCCAAAATAATCCTGCTGTTGTGACATTTCCTGCTTATAGAGTAGATGACTGTACTGCATCTTTATGGATATGCTTAGAGGTGTTAAAATAAAAGTATCGTCCCTTCAGTATTACATGTTGGTTTTAATGTGCTTAAAGTATGGAAAGAATAGTTTGGAAACCACAAGCCTAGACTTAAGGGCTTCCACCTGAATTCCAGTAATGCCTGATGAAGGGGAAGAACTGTTGGTAAAGATCAAGGGATCTGGTAGTTTTTAAAATTCACGCTTCACAAACTCAAGGTTAGAAAAAAACCTGGTTATTTAATAGCAAACGCCAGTCTTGATCTGCTTACCAGCAGTGTTTGAATACAGGCAGGATAAAGAAGGTTGTTTCTTCTTCTCTCTTCTGCATGCCATGACAGGAGCCTACTTTGGCATTTAAGAAAAATTTGAAATTCACAAAGTGAAAGAGCAAAAAGTAGAGAAAGAAAATGTATCAAGAACAACAAAACTAGATAGTAGAAACTCTGCAATTTAAATGAGTGGCCTTTGTGACCCTTCAATGAGTGTCAGTATAATGGGGAGTAAATTAAGTTTGGAGTGCTGCAGACTCCTGGTGCTTGAAACTTTGGGTAGGGAGGATTTCCTGGGGGTTGTGGTGGGGAGGGTAACAACTTTGAATTTTAGGGATTACCAGTCCTAGTAATATCTGGAGCAGGCGAGGTGCAATGAATTCCTTTGAGGCCGGAAGTAATAAAGAAGTGACATAATGCTGTAAAATGTATTAGATTGAAGATAAGGGCTTTGAGGAAGGATGATCTGGAAACAAAATGTAGATGTTTAAAAACTGGAAAATGTTGTGAAGTCCAAAGGAGCTTGTTGAAATTAAGCCAGCTGTTTCATTTTCTGATTTAGATATACAGTTGTCTTAAGTTTTTTTCTTCCTAAGTTTCTTCTCAGATCCTAGGTGTCCAGTTTCCACATCAGTCTTAACATAATATACCAAAGATTGTCCAAATAAATGTATTGAATAGGTGAGGACTTGGCTCATTTCCTTATGCAAATACCATTTCTCTACTGATTTCTTGAAAGCTTATTGACTTCTCAAAACTAAAGGATATGGGGTATGTTTATGGGCAAGATCCTCCCTGCTGCTTCCCTCCCATTGTGCATTTCTTGTCCTTTTCAGTATATGGCAGCTTCTGTCTAGCCTGAATCTGTCAGAGAGTTATGTTTCTTGAACAGAAGTATTTTTCCTCAAATCAAGAACAGCCTTAGTTTTGGTTTTTAGCCCTTCTTCAATCTTACTTTGTCTAACCCTTTTTAAAAGAGTTGAAGACTTCTTATGGCTAAATTAATACATTAGCTCAGAACTCATCTCCATGGATTGTTTTCTTTTGAAGGTAGTAGTGGGTTTAGGTTAAATTTGTTATTTGTAATTTAAATTAGTTCTCAGTATTTGCACTGCCCTTTGCAGGGTTAATATATGAGGTGGCTATAGTTCAGAACACCTCTTTAAACATTTTTGCAGAGGAGAATACGGCCTTGACCAACTTTGCATTATTTCTGTTGCTCTTGGTATTGAAAATCTGCTTTCTCCTGCAAGTCATGTCCTGTTCCCCAGTATTGTATGGTAGGCAATTGTAAATAGCTAAACTTTGTTTTAAGTTGAATGGAAGTGGTTTAAGCATGATTAAATTTGGGGTTAGCAAATGAATTTCTGAATGCTTAGTACAAAATGCCCATTAAGTTGAGTGTTCATGTTTAAGAGATGTTACAAAGATACAAGTGATTTTTGAGAAAAATCTGTTACTCCGGTGTCGTTAGTGAGCATTCTTGATCAGAATTGACACAAAATTTAGAATTGTTTATTTTTAGGAAAAAATAGAATTCTGCTGCTTAATTTTAAATTTTCTCTGATATCTTGAAATAGATACCTTCTAGTGTGTTCAAACCAAGTGTTTTAAGCCATGTGACTGAAGTTAAGCATTATACTGATTAAAAAAAATACATATATATATATGTGTATATTGAAAATGGTAATTAGGTTATATCATTACCAAAGAAGATTGCAAGTAAATAATAGAGTAGATGGGGTATTATTCCAGAACAGAGTTTGAGTGTGTTGCACAGAACTGCATTTTTGGTCGGTGGAAAATTATGATTTGGGAGTGTGAAGTCTGCGTATGTAATCACACTTGTGCAGGAAGAGTAGGTTGAGTGTGCTCATACACCTTCAAACTAGGCCTTCTAAACTGCAAGAATGTCCCAAAAAGTAAAATAATTGTAAGTCATTGAAACACCAACCATGTTGTGCTTTCTGCATTCAAAAAGCACATCAGTTAGTCATCTCTGGCTGCAGTAGGGACCTTACTTAAGTCACTTCTTGTTGATTTTGTCAAAGTATGTGGCTGACAGTGCAAAGTATTTTGAGTTTCCTAATGCTAGAATTCATTAGTAGATATTCAGTTGATCCACTGTGCATTTGCTATTAAATACAGGCATAAATAGCAAATTCAGTTACTTAGTACTAAGTTAAACTGAATTGACTGAATCTGTTTATAAAATAGTAGGGCATTTGGTAGATTCAATTCTTGAACTGCATATATAGTAAAAGTCCACAAAACATTTTTTTTCTAGTTTCAGTTTTGGCACTAGATTTTATCCTGGAGTTTTTAAATATTCTTCATCCTGTTCTTTTTCTATTAAGGTTAATGTTGAAGAAGGAAAATGCGGAAGTCGCCATTTGACAAGTTTTATAAATGAGAATTATTTGAAGCTCAGGAATAAGTGAAGCTGAAATTTGAAAAAAAAGAAAGTGAATGCATGCTAATTATCAGACCAGAAGTCCCACTTGTAGAATATTGAGCAATTTGTGTGAAGTGGGGAAGATGAAAGAAGTCAGAATTTGAAACGGAAGAATGAAGAAAAGGAATAAAAATGAAGTTAAGATAAGAAGTAATCTGGAATCTGAAAGCACTACGCTAAGTAATTACTAGTCTGTTTATGTGTCCCTGTATATTTTGCTAAACATGCATGCATTATCTGTTTAATAGCAAAAGTATATGCAGGGTAAAGAAGTGTCTACCAGGGAAAAAAAAAACTTCTTAAAAATCTAGGCAGTTCTAATGCCAACTGCCCGGACACATAGATATGAATTTTTACCATTTATTTCACTGGAGCTTGTTTACAGACCTTAGGTAAACGAGAAATTGTGTACAAATTAGGCTTTCAATATCTGCGTGCAGGAATCCCGTTCTGCTTCCAGAAGCGGAAGTGCTCATGGGTCTGGCAAGTCGGGGAGGCACACCCCTGCAAGATCTCGATCTAAGGAGGATTCCAGGCGTTCCAGGTCAAAATCTAGATCCAGGTCTGAATCCAGGTGAGTTTACTTCTTTTACCTCTTCCTCCTCTTCGCAAGTCAGATGATTATGTCAGAGGTGATCTGAAATCCAGTTTAGCCCAATTCTGTTTCCAGAGATAATTGGTGATCTGTGGACATTGAATCCAAAGGGGGACGTGTGGTTTCAAGATTTGAAAAGCTAAACTATCAAGTTAGATCTTTTTGCAGCTTTTTATAAGAGGTAGTCAGCTGTGTAGGCTTTCTGCTGGTACAGTTTGGAAGTGGTCTGCCTTTTAAGGCATTACATTAGAGTAATGGCCAGTTTCTGAGTGTGAAGCATTAGGAACTCTAGATCTCAGTTCTTCTGTGCATTAAAAGAAATACGTGCATCAGCAGATTTTCCATTTTAGGTCACATGAATGTATTACATTTTCTCACTGGAAGCAATGATATTTCTGGAGTAGTTAACGGTATATTCCATGAAAAAGAAACAGTAGAGATAAATGTGAATTTCAACAGACATCTCTGACCTTTTAAATATATATTAATTTAACTTGAAAATTAACAGGCTGGAAAGCTTTAAAGATTAGACAGCTTTCCAAGCTCTCAAAAAAAGTTGCGGAGAAAGTAGCTTGCTTATTTTTGTTACATGGCAACATGAATGTACAGTATGAAAATGCTTTTTGCACTGTATTACCTATCTGTCCTTATACTCATCTGCTAAATATGCTGTGCGCAGTGACAGAATTCCTGTTGAAACTGTTAACGGACATAACTGAGACATAAAATATGCTGGCAGTCCAGATATAAGACTATGAACGTCACTGCTAGCCACTTTACATGACACACCTGGTATATGCTATGTAAGAGGTACATATTTAATAAAGAATGAATAGAAGGGCAAAACCTGTACATGGGTGAATAATGTTATTTTCTAAAGAGTCTAGATAATTGAGTGCTAATTACAGAAATGAATATGTTGATAGTTTTACTCATTCGTAAGCATTTGGGTTAAAAAAAACTTGGGTTTCAGCAGTGGGGTTTTCAGTTGAGCTGTTCACAATACACTTTTTATGTATATAAGCAATGAATTAGGCCTGCCAAAGCCTGGGGGTCAGGCTGAAGGAAGGATGACAATGCTGGAAGATACTGTGCTATTAGTGATCACCCAGGACAGAAAACACTATCAAATACTGTGTTTAGATCTCCTTGCACGATCAAAGTGATCAGTTTGAAAGGCTTTTGTGAGAAGGAAAATACATGGGAAATTTTGACAGTAAAGGAGTGAGCTTGTCTCTTCTGTGTACTTCAGGCATAGTCACAAGTGTCAAATCATGCACTTGGTAATCCCTGTAGTGCAAAAGCAAGTATGTAAAATTAAATTAATAAATACTTGGTAGAGTAATATTGCGTTATATAGTATGAAGTCAGTGACCTCTGGAGTTGCTAGCAGTGAGAGATTCATAGGACAGCTCAGGAAGGGTACAGTCCAAAATCCTGTTCAAGGCAGTCAGCTGTAGGCTCAGGCCATGTTCTCAGGGGTTTATCCAGTTGGGTTTTGAAGACCTCAGAGGATGGAGACAGCACACCACCTTTGGGGAACATTGTAATTTTAAAATAACAAGCAAGTCAGGACCCAGCCCAGCATGTCCTTCTGCACCTTAATCCATAAACCCTAGGGATTCCATATTCTTGCACCATGTTTCTCACTTGCAGAATAACCATAATACTGTGTAAGAACGCAATTATAAATTGTATAAAAAGCTGGAAGAAGCAAATGCAAGATCTAGAATTTACGAGAAACCTGGCAAACCATTCACTCTTATAAGAAATCACCCTTTAAATAATACCCTGGGAAGTGACTTTTTGATGTACAAAAGTAGAAGCTTATGACTCCCATGGCTTCCTGAGCATTTAACAGCTGTCTTGAAAATGCCTATGGCTGGAAATACTTGAAGTATATTGCAGAGTTAGAGTTGTTCATTAGCAGATTTCTGGCACAATTGTGTCAAGGCACATATTTAGAACCAACATACTTATATCTGTTTTCAGTGCCGTCATGCGTTTGGATGTGATCATGAGCAGGTCATCTAACTGGCTCTCACCAGAGAAATAACATTGTGAGACCTTTCATATTTCTTGGCAGTTTGTTGCAAATGTATTTTTGAGTTACCAGCTTTATAAATTAAACTTTGATTTGGGAACAAATCTGTGTCCTGGCGTATTTATCAGTTGGGGTGTGGATGTACTTGATTTAAGAATCTGCTTTTATTGAAGTTTTCATCATCAGCATAGCAAGCTTGTTATCTTTGGCTGACTCTGAAGTCTAAACAATTCTTAACAAAGGAATAGGATTTTCAACTGCGGTGACTTTGCAGCAAAGGAGAATGGCAGTATGACATTTAAGGCAGCAATATGAGCAGTGCCTATTTAAAATAAGCCTTGTTCTCTCACATAATGGATTGCTTGGTGTGGAAATGTCCTGCTCTTGTTCAGTGTAATGGGTGCATTCTGTTACCTGGAACCATCAATTCTGTGTTTACCTTCAGTTTTTCTCTATGTCAGTGGTTGAAATGTGGCTGTATGCATGTGTTGAACTTCTTTTTTTTTTACTTATTATTATTATTTCTGTCTGTCTTTACTGTCTTCCCCACCTCAGGGAAGTTATCTTTTTTTTTAAACTTTCTGTTGCCAAAAATAATTTATTCTTTCTATATACATAGTTAGAAGTATCGTAATGGGACATGCTGAAGTAATTTCTCCTGGACATGTATACATGTTTCAAGTTGAGGAGGACAGAACTTAGCTGGCTCATGTCTGATGAGGTTGAAGGCGTTTTTGTTTTTGTTTTTTTTTTTAAGGATGCCTGTGATGTACAGAGTGTATATTGTGCAGTTTGGCTGTCTGGTGACACTTAACCTAGTGAGAAATCCTGACTATGGAAGAAGCTGTTAAATGCTCAGGAGTAAAAAAGGGTTCAGCTTAAGGACTTCACTCCTGCTAGCATAGTGGTGGTATTACTGTGAAACACAGTTGTGCAATGATGGTGGCTTATGGTCTTCGTCAGTACTTACTACCTTGGCTTCCACAGACTAGAGGAAGGACGTTTAAGACCCAAACAAGTCAGAAGATTAACAATTTATGACTAAGAGCCTTTGAATATTAAACTGTTTATTGCACTTCTTAGCCTTGCAGCAATTTTCTTTGTAGTTGTGTGGAATGCAGATTATTCAGTGATGGCCATCAGCAGGCCAAGCTCAGGTGTAATATTCCAGTTTAAGTGCCTGCCCAGCTTTTCAGTAAGGCTGTCTGTGTTGGGCTGAGGGTTTAGTGGAAGGAATTGAAGTGTTTCAGAACCTCATCTCCACAGACCTAGTGCTGTCAGAAAACATTTCTGGAACTGTTCTGAGGAGGCCTGGGCTGAAATTAGTGAGCAGTTGCACCTTTACCTAAACACGCTTGGAGCATGAACCTGTAAACATTGATGAACAACTAATGTTAAGTAACTCTTGAAATACCAGAAGGTAAATAAGCCTACTACAGCTTAATTTCTTCAGTTGTGATAAGGTCTGTTTCAGGGGCATCTGCCAGACTTCTGTGCTTGTAATTATGCAATGTGAAAAAAGTATATTTGCTTTTCAGTGTCACTGAAAGCAGTGCTAGAATAAGCAGAAGTGTGCACCTCCGCAATCGTGCGTGCTTTATGTTGTCATATTTACTCCTGTTCCCTTTCTCTGTTCTTTAAAAGAAAGCCACCCCAGCTATTTTTACTTAAATGTTACTGTAAATGCTGTGAATATTCTAAGCATATACTGTGTCAAACTAGGATAGCCTTGTTAGAGAAAGTTAAAAGCTAACTAAAATGGAAGTTGAGGTTCCTGCTCTGCAGTAGAAATGCTCTGAGAGCATCTACAGTAATGTAATTGTAAAGATTTGGCACACAGTCCTTGAGAATAGTGACTAAATTGATTATAGCTGAATCATGTGGTATTGCAGGTTTTTAGAAAATGGTTATTTGGGCTTTTTGTTTGTGAATATCTGACATATTTTTGAAGGGTGAAAAAAACCAAATGAATGCAACACTGTACCTTTTTCTTTTTTTCCTCAGATCTAGATCAAGGAGGAGTTCCCGTAGACACTACACAAGATCACGCTCTCGTTCCCGCTCTCATAGGAGATCCAGAAGTAGGTCTTACAGTCGGGATTATCGGCGACGACACAGTCACAGCCATTCACCCATGTCTACTCGCAGACGTCATATTGGAAACAGGGTATGTCTGTTACAGAAGTAGATGACTCATACATAGTCCTGAATACATCCTGAAATCACTGAATTAATTCATTGGGGTTTTCCAGAAAAACATTCCGCTTCCCGCTCAGGTCTATTTAAAAGATGATGTTGAGGTTAATTGCCATTTGACTTTTGATAAACCATGGCTCTCCATAAGTTTGCTTAGGATTGTGGGGTGGGGGTGTCTTGTTTTTTAACAGATGCTTTTAGAAGTGCTACCAGTGCAGGCTGTTGTCATTATACCTGCAGTAATAACTGAGTGAATGTATGCAGCGAAGGATGGGGGTAGAATTAGGAGGTAGAAACATTTGTGTTTTTCTTGATTATGAAGCTTGGGAAAATAAAACATTTCATTAAAAGCTGTTTTGATGGTGTCTTTATTAAATGAGCATGCAAACCAGCTTGCTTTTAGCTGCTTTACAGGCTCAGGTGGCTGAGTGTGATGTGGTTTGTGCTGAAGTAGGGGGCAAAAAGAGATAACTAACACAAATGACGATGTGATCCAGGCCTCTGTGTATATGTGTCTCCACATTCAACAGTCACCAGCTAGCCTTTGGAGGGAAAACTTTTAAATACAGTACCTATTATGTGCTGTAACTGTAGTTTGTACAGTACCTTGAGAAATGCAAAGTATTTTTGTGAAAGGAGGCTTGTGTATCTGTAGGTTTGGTTGTAATAGTGTCTATTAGCAAGTTAACCCAACCTGAATCTCAGCAGTATCTTTTTTGTTCTTTTGTCTTGAAGCTCTGAGAGTCACAACTTGTGAAACACCTTGTATTGCAAATAGAAGCAATTTTATTCTAATATCAATCTGTCCCTTCCTTTAGGCAAATCCTGACCCAAACTGTTGTCTTGGTGTGTTTGGATTGAGTCTGTACACCACAGAAAGAGATCTTAGAGAAGTTTTCTCCAAGTATGGTCCAATTGCCGATGTTTCCATTGTGTATGATCAGCAGTCTCGGCGTTCCAGAGGATTTGCATTTGTGTACTTCGAAAACGTTGAGGATGCTAAGGAAGTAGGTTGGGGTACAGAATGTATGACATGTTTGCTGTGTTCTCAGTTGCTGGGATGTATATTCTGTAACAGGACATAGCCTGGGGAAACTCAGGGCCTAAAAAATATTTGGCACCTCACAATAAATGTCAGAGTCTTAGTTCAAAAGATATCTACTGTGTACCAGAGGAGAGAGTGAAGAGGCATGAATACTGGACCCTGTGCAGGCTGAGCTGTTGTGTAATTCACAAAAGCAAACTTCAGGCTAGCCATAGTGCAAACTATGCCAACAGGGAAAAGAAAATGGAAACACAGTCTCTCGTGTTTTAATTATGAGATGAGAGTTCCTTCCTAATGCCACATGTGATCTTGTATTTACTAACAGGTGTGTTCAAAGTGGACCAGACAGCCATTTCAGAGCTCTCTTTAGGAGTGCGAACATGCATTTGGCTGACTTCTAGTGCTTCAGTCTGAAAGGGGCGGGGGGAATCTTTTCTGAAAATAAAAGGCCAGACTGTACATGGCTTCCTGGTGCCTGCAAATGTCCATGGGAAACCCAAAGGGATTTAGTAGATGGAAGCAATGTCAATACAGTGTAACAAATGGTGGGATTTGTGTTTACAAGTGCTACAGAATGAACAGGGAATTGTATACTTGCCAGGTATAGAATTGTACACTCAGGCCAGCCCTTGGAGAGCAGTGTGCTTATGGGCTATAACTAGGCTTATATTCTGCATAAATTCCCCTACTTGAAGACTCTAGTGTCGTCTTTTCCAAATTTGGCATGAAGGCTTCCATGTTAGGTTGGAGTTTTGGATGTAGGTCCTGTTACTTGGCAGAAAAAAACCCAATGGTTTTGGTTTTTTTACTTCAAATTTGCTTATGACTCAGATACTACTATATTCAAGGTTATGGTAGGTTTTGAGGGATGTATTGGAGGAGAAAAAGCTTAACATAACAGTCTTTTATTAACTTCTAAATGCTTTGCTTCATGTTGTGTGTTGGAGTAGTTACATCTCCCTACATAAGCATGTTCAAAGGTTCCTCTTAATCACGTTAGAAACAGAGATACTGAAACAATTGTTAAATCGTGTTCCTTTCAGGCTTTTTATGCAATATAAGTCATGTTTTAAGTGATTACAGAAGCTTAAATCCAGCTGGCCTAGAATGTCTTACTGATTGTGTTAGGTGTTATGTATAAGGAATAAGTGAAACTTAGATGTGCATCCTAACTGAGCTATTTTAGGACTTCTCATAATACTTGAAGCTGTGGTTAGAAACTTGTCTTGCTAATACAGTTCATACCTACAGCTTACTGTATTCTATCACTCCATTTAGGCAAAGGAACGTGCCAATGGAATGGAGCTGGATGGAAGAAGGATCCGGGTAGACTTCTCCATAACAAAAAGACCTCACACACCTACACCGGGAATCTATATGGGAAGACCCACTTAGTAAGTTACCTGTGTGGGATTTTTTCCAAACCAGAATAGGAAACAAACAGAATTCCAAACAGAATTGTAATAATTGTGGGGTTTTTTTAAACTTTTCTGTATCTCCTCTAGGAGACCTGATTCTGTGTGGATTTCCTAGTTTTTATCAGCCTTTTGCATTAATGCACTGTTCTGAAAGCTGTTTCCTTGCTTATGACTTGTGTGCTGTACATTATGTGGATGTTTCAGTACTAGAAACTAAAATACAAAAATCACTGTCGATGCCTAATTACTTTTTTAAAAAAAAAGTCACTTTAACAAGAGCTGTGCTAACACTGATGTGGTTATCTGGCAAAGCTTCTGAAAACTAAAAAACTCAACTGATAAAGGAAGCTCTTCAGAATTAAAAAAAAAAAAAGACTGCATGTGGACAGCCATCAGTAGTAATGCGTATCTTTCCAGCTCTTTAGATAGGAGGGGTTAATTTATGTAGCACTTGTCAGTGTCTGATCTAGGGTCAGCCTGAATTACAGTGAGCAGGAACTGTGTTCCTTAGTTATGCAGCCCAGACATGAGCTATCTAAACATTTAAATAAGTCTACAGTAAGATTTGTTGTTGTTGTTGTTGTCCTCTGTACCTTCAAATATTAATGTCTTTTACAAGCTCAAGTTTTCAAGAGTGGATTAACAAATACTGATTGAGCAGCTGTGTGGTGCATTTTGCCCTATCCATAGAGTACGCTTTTGACTTAAAGTTGCCAAGAATGTAAATTGTTTTCCCAAGTCATTTCCCAGTTATTTTCCCAAGACTTTCAGCTTATGGTACTGGTGGTTATGTAGTTGATGTTGTGTTGAGACTGCAGGTTGGTTTTTTAATTGGAAAGTTCTTCCAAAAGGAGTTTTCAGAGAGTTAAAAGTGAATGAAGAGTTGTCACAGAATGGAATTCCTCATGTGCCTGTGATACCGAAAGGTTAAGAGGTTTCAGACCAAGTAGGGAAGTAGCTGTCTTAAAGTTCAAGCATTTTAAAAAGCAATTATTTAAGTAGTTCTGTTCCATCTGCGCTGATGGGAAAGTAGGAGTGGTTACAATCATTTCAACTGAGAGGATGCAAGGTAATAATGTAACCCAGTTAAAATGGTATATCCTCTATAACTGACTGTATGCCTACTGAAAAGCACTGCAAACAATACTTTATATTTTATTAAATGTAATTTTCTTTCACTACTTGTAGTGGCAGCTCACGACGACGAGATTACTATGACAGAGGGTATGACAGAGGGTATGATGATCGTGACTATTACAGCAGGTCATACAGGTGAGGCAATATTTGTAATATTTGACTCCTTTTAAACTGCTTTCTCATCTACATTTCTACCTATGTAAGTGTTAAGCAGTTCATCCTACATATGTATGCCAAAATATTTTTGCACTCACTGTCATTCTGGAATCTTACTATGAAATCTTTACCAAAATGACTGCTCAGTACAAATCAGACTGGTCAGATTGAGCAATACTTTGTGATGTTTAACCTGTGGCATGAGTTAGTCCATGATATTTCTAATCTGCATTAAGTTTTGAAAAACAATGTATGTTCTCTATATTCTGATTTTAAAAGAATCTTTTGTTGGTTCATCTGTTAGCATTGAAATGGTGGGAATACAGGTGCAGATCTAATATTTGAGTTGATATTACAGTGCCAACTTATCTTTTGAGCATAGTGCAGTAGGCAAAGTGGAAAATCGCAGTGGTCACCAGTATCCCCTACTAGTAATTATGGCACCTCAAATCTTGACAAAAATAAGGAACCAGGGATTGGAACATTACCTGTTCTGTATTGGACATGTGCATTAAAAAAGCTTTTTTTAACATACTCTGTCGGGTTGAAAGAGTGCGTTTTACTTGAAGGACTCATACCTCCTATTTCTGTCTGTCTGCAGTCTAAACTTCTGTGTTTGACAGCATAGTAGTTAGCTAAAAGAGGTGAATATTCAGGTGGCGATATATACATTGTCAGAGGGCTAGTAAAGTTGATACCAACTATGTTTTCAATAGATTTTGTAAGTAATTGGTTTTGGTGACGGAGCAAGTTTGTTTCTGCATTTTCCATTACGACTGCCAAGAAGACTTGTCCCCTGTGAATTTCTGGGACACTATTAAGTTGGACTCAAAGATAAGAGCTCATTTTTTCTGTCTGCAATTACCAAACGTTCCTGTAGTTGCAGAATTCTACAGTAATACTTTCTAAGTGGCTTGCAAAGCTTAAATGCATCAGCAATGGGTGGATTTATGATTGTTCCCTGATGGCAACCATGTATTTATGGAAATAGATGAATTCGACTGCATTGTCACATTATAGGTCAAAGACAAAGGAAATAATAAATTCTGTGACCTTAGCTTTCAGTGTACTCTTCTGTTGCTTTCTAGGTGTAGAAGAAAATAACATCTTTATACTTGTATTGGTAGCTGTATGGTCATTGTTAGTGACTGAGGGCAGTAATTTCCTTCCCCTCGTACTATTTTCAGCCACTTTTTCTCCTTCCCAAGCTGTTGGCATTGCTTCCAATCTGTTTCTCCCCTCCCTGCCTTGCTGTTGTCCCTTAAATCAGCTGCCTTGCTTCTACAGGGCTTCAGTGCTGCTGGGGGCAGGGAGGGCATCAAGGTGCTCTACATCATCACAGTGAACACAGGAGACAAGTGTTCTGCTCACATTTCTGGGAAGCAGTCATTAGGGTACTTCTCTGCCTCTAGCAGTCCATTTCCTTGAAACATCAGTGGTTTGAACATTTTGGAGGACTGTAGCAGCTAAAATCTGAAGTTGATATTGGGCATACAAGAACCAAGATATGTTGGGGTTTACTTTGCCAGGACTTGTATGTAGGCTTTCATATGTGGTATATGGCTCTCTGGCCAAACTTTCAGTTTGTTTCAGAGCACAAGGTACAAAAACTTGCTTGGGATACTTAACATAGCCTCGTCTCACTTACTATACTAAAAGTAATTAACTGAAATCTAGTGGGTAAATTAACTGAAGCAGCTCGCCAAAGTGTTGGGGAACAGAAAAGACTTGCAACATAGCCTGCTAAGCAATCTGTTAAGTGGTGTTTCTAGCTTGCTTCTCCCACTTTCTATTTTTTTGTATGGGGTTCTGATGTAAACCTATAAAAATGGCAAAGGTACCTAAGGACCAGTAGAAGATGTGGGGCTATGCAGTGTTTGGTGGGAGTTTTACACCATTGGTCTGTCTTCTTGCACTTCTTCATAGTACAGATTTTCTTATTCTTTCATAAAGGGTCGGTCAGGGTGTACTGGTTGTCCTTGAAATCTGTTGTTTGCTGCTTGCATGTTCTTAAAATGTAGTTTATTCCTTGTTTAGATTGTGGCATGACCCTAAGTCTTCAGTGCTCAAGTGTTACCTTTTTCATTCCTGATAGCAAACAGTGGCTGAGATGTTTGTAAAACATTATCAGAAGTTGTAACTACTCAGTTCTGGGTGCATGCTAGTGAGAATAGTTGCAGACTGTGGTAGTGACTGAACATAAAAGAAGAGTACATGCATTAGACGAGGAAGAGCAGACTAGTAAGACGTGATGTGAGAAGATGGACTACTTCAGTTAGTGTACTAGTCTGAGTGTAGCTTTATCAGAATTCATGGCCATGCTTCAGTCCAGGTCTTTGAGACAGTTATGTGATGCGTGATGTTCTGACCTTCCTACACGCTCTCCCATCCTGTGTTTGTTGTGAACTAGGGCTTTGGGGTGGAAATACTCAGAATATTGACAATTCCCATCTTAAAAAAGGGGGGGGGGGGGGCCGGGACAAAAAAAAAAAAAAAAAGCACAACAACAAAAAAAAACCCCACCCCAATGTTTTAAAGCTCACTGCAGAACCTTTATAATGTCCTTCCATAGCAGATACTGAAAGATTGAAAGTAAGCCATAAATGGTTTGTGTGTGGCTACTTTTAAAATAGCATGGTCTGCCCAGGTTAGGTACCTACTTTCGCATCCTACAGGCATTGGTCGTTTGAGGGAGAGAGAATAGTGTTGTGTATGTCACAAGCACTTCCTTGAGGAAGGGAAGGATAGAATTGTTAAAGATGCAGTATAGCATTGCATACTACTACTCCACCCTAGAACACCAATTGGTAACAATTTTGTGTTTTTCCCTTCCTTGCCCTCTGTGCTATGAAGCCTTAAGGGAAATACAATTTCAGATGGGAATTGTCATGTTAATTCTCCTCATTGCCATGGGATGCTTAATCTTGTCTGGAAGAGTTATCTGTAAACTGAAGAATAACCTTAAAAAAACTTAACTTGCACACTGGCTATCTACCAAATGGAGAAGACTTTAAAAAAAAAAAATTAAAAGGGAGACCTGCTGATTGAAAGTGTGGTGTTTAGGGGTTCTTTGTCCTTCATGTGATTTATGGCCTTTTTTGAGTTGCTGTGAGGCATCTGTGGCAGTGACTGTTCCGTAATCCAAACTTGATTTAGTCTCCTCCTGGTAATGCTTTGCTGTATCTAAATCTGTGGAGGTACCAGCCCAACCACTTAATATTGTTACATACTATCATGTATTGTTTCAGTTCTAGGCAGCTCCTGTAAAAGGAAAAGCTGTACCTCAAATTCTTAAATGCCCTCGTTTAAACATGATTGTGAAGTGTTAAAATGTAAGGGGGTGGTTTTTTTCTCTGCATCCACCTTGGAATCCACTTTTTCCTCAGGACAGTGAATTGATCATGCTAATTTAAAAATAAATAAGTAAAATTGCTTGCCTCGAGTGGGTAAGCATCTGAGAACAGAAATGGCCTTAGAAGTGAAGGCTATGTACCGATCTTAAACTGCTGCTTGTTGGAGAGTATGACATTGTAAAATACAATGTTGGTCAGCTGGAACATGAGTCCTCTTTAACTGCTCCTTGACACCAAGTTTAGCCAACTCATTCCACGAATACCTAAAAATGAATATAATGGAAGTAATTCAGCATTATCCAGTGTAGGAACCAATGTTTTCCTGTCTTTACATAATTTTCTTGTGCTTGATGATGCTTTTTGCTTGTACAATGAACTTTTGTGTTTATTTTTAAAATTTTCAAAAGTCATTCTGCTTTTGTATTCACAGAGGAGGTGGTGGCGGAGGAGGAGGAGGATGGAGAGCTGTTCAAGACAGGGATCAGTTTTACAGGTATGATAGGAAAGCTTTCAGTGTCCGGTCAACAGTGGAAATATTCTTACACGTATGTTTTGAGTATTCTATGAATGAACTCTAGGATATCTTTAAACACATTAACAGAAACTGAGTGGATGCTGAGTACTTGCAGCTCTTCAGTGAGCAGGGCAATTAATTTCAAAGGTTAGTATAGGGACAGGGTAGTGCAGCTTTGTGCAGGAAAAACTTGTGATTTATGCCAAGAAGTTAATGTCCTGAATGGTTGGGGATTTTTTATTTTATTTTATTAGGAGATTAGTGGAACTAGGCAATGAAATGCAAAACTTGGGAGTGCCTGGATTGGAGGGGTTTGGGAGTGAGGTTGGTTGTAGCAGTGACAGCTGGTCAAATGAGAACTCCTCATTGCAGAACAAATAATTAAGATTAAAAGTTAAGGTGTGATTTGGCTTGCACTGCTTGTTTGGGATGCTCCTGGCTTGAAACGCTAAAATCACATGTAGTCAAATGGTGAATGCAAGAGAGCTTGTATTTCTTCTGTTAGACCAGAGTAATGTTGCTCTGACACGGTAATAAAAAGAGTATTAAGAAAATTCAAATCTTTGCTTTGTTACCCAGTGGAAATGTTGATCAGCTACTTATGTGCTCGTTAGCTTTCCCAAGTACACTCTTGATACCAGGATCGGGTTAGGGGTATCCACGTAAAGTTGCTGCCACTCATCTGTGGCAGGCTCTAATGAAGGGATTGTTTCTGTTGCCCCCTTTCACAGGAGGAGATCACCATCCCCCTATTACAGCCGAGGGGGCTACAGATCTCGATCCAGATCTCGATCCTATTCACCTCGTAAGTAGACTCAGAGCTTGCATATCAGAAGCAAATTTCCACTTTGCTTGAACTTCTTTTGAGCTTTTGTGTCCATAAAGACTGCTTGACTTCAGTGTAGTTTTTTTTTTGAACCACAGTTCCCTTTAATGTTTCATTGAGCAACTGGCAACCTCGAGGACAGAGCAAATATTTAGTCAAAATAAACTAGATAATACCACTTGTTAAAAAGTCTGACGGACTGTTTCTTTCTCTGAAACTCTGTTAAAACAGGATTTTGTAGTACACTGACAGTTTGGGTTACCTCTAGGACAGCAGGGCCGAGTTCCCAAGCCTCGCACATTATAACACTGAAATTAAATTTCCCAACATAACTTGTTAAAGAGATTAACTTCATCCGAGGTCCAAACAGTGCTTTTTTTTCCCCTGAGTTGCTTATTTGCATGGAAGATAAAGCTGCATTTTGATGGCTGAAAGTTAATAAAACACAATAGCATTCCTAGCATACTCCCTTTGTAATGGATACAGGGTGAATGAATAGGTTGTGCTCTCATGTTTATCCTTTGTGTCCAAATGAAAACAAGTGTAACTGCTTTTACTGATACGTAGGGAACAGTTACAATGTGAGTTCTCATTGTGCTGAAACGTCAGCCCTGGGCATATGACAGGAATTGGAGTTTTTCTGCACAAAGGAACTTACTGGCGGAACTGTACTGACTGCTGGACTTTGTCATAGACAAATCGTAAGACTTTCAGATTCATTGCAGACTTGAGGGGTGGCAGTGAATTTAGACAGAACTCTTAAAAATCTGTCAATCCTTAGAAGTCTAATGGTGTATGTATTTTGTTTTTTCTTTCAGGTCGCTATTAAAGCATGACATGTAGAGGAATTTCTAGCTACAGCCTTTGAGTTGAAATTGCAAGTTTGTGGACAATATTTTTATTGTCTCTTCTGTTTAAACAAGTGAACAGTGCCTAGTGAATAGGTGACTTTTACACCTTTTATGAAGACTACTTCTGTGATGTTAAATGCTGTTTCATTCTGCATATTTGTGTAGTTTGGTGCTTTGTTTCAAGTTGTGTTTTGAAAGGAGTATGTTTTGCATGTATTTTTTTAGTCTCAATTTTGACTCCTGAAAGGTTTCTATTGTAAAGACAAACTGTTCAGTTAGTTTTTTCTACTGATTCCAAGGTATTCTGAAGATCAAAACCTGTGTAAAATGCTTTCAAAAAGTGAAAAATAAAATAAAAAGAAGTTTGTTTTTTCTTTTCCTACTTACTTTTGCCAAGTGTAAGTTACAGGTTGAAAAGAGACTACAACACTTATGCTGTGTATTCTCGAATAATGTTTAAAGCCCAGAAGTAAAATTGACCCTAATTTTGTGTTGTTGGGTAGCTGTTCTCTAAATGCAATACCTTCAAGTACGTAAACCCAGTGTGTAGGGAAGTGCCTTTGCAAATTGTGCGGCAGCAGGAGCATGGAGCAAGACTTGCAATAAACTCTTGGTAATGCTGTTGAGCTTTGAGAAGGGTAAGCTGTTAGCAGATATCACCTATAACATGTAGGCCTTTAAATAAGGAGAAGGCTTCAGTGGATGTAGGTGACCATACACTTGGAGAAGGCAATGAAATAACACTTAGACTACTTCGATTTTTCTTATTTCTTCACTGATGATTGTCCTTCTTTTAAAGAGTACGTCTTTATCCCCATGTGCAGCTAAAATGCAATAAAACTCCCAAATGATGCTTTCCTACCAGTGTAGTACCATTTTGCCTGCTCGGATTCATGAAGTTCATATGCCTACAGGAAAATTCTGTGTAAGGTTTGAAGGTACTTGGTCAGACTAGAACTTCCCTCAGCCTCGTATCATAGCTCTGATGGTGACTGTGCATGGAGGACGTAGAAAATGGTGCAAGAGTGGTGAAACGCTAGGCTACATCTGCCACTCTTCTCTGCTTTTGAACTTCCTCTACTTCATTCCCTGCGTAGCAATTTCCACACCTTTTTTGTGGACTGAGAGCAGTTACAGGACCCTGTGGACCTGCAGCCTCTTGACCTTTATTTGATGATTTTCCCTCTTCCTGTATGGTAGTGGAACAGACAGCTGCTCTCTGTGCATTTCTGTGCTATTTCTAATCGGTGGCCTCCGTCATCTCTTGTCTTACTGTAGTTTTCAGATCAAGTTAGATCTTTGTATGGAAGTTTTCAGTAACTTGGTCTGTTCTTTCAGAGAGAGGTGGAAGGGAGGACCAGGATGGCACACAGTATTCCACAAGTTTAGGAACTGTGGGTTTATGTGGTAACATAATGTTAATTTCTTTCTGAGCACCATCTCACACTTGTCCTGCTTTGATTCTCTTAAGTACTTCTGAGCTGGAGGTCTTTATACAGCGACTTCCAAGAGCTCACACCAGAGGATGAATGATCAGGAGCCTGTCCCTGCAGTCTTCCTTTTGTTAGAGAATTTAAAACAAGGTTGTATGAGCTGCTGTGCTGGTACTCGGCTATGAAGTGCCATCAAAGCCATCACAGGTCGGGATTTAAGTGGTAAGCCTGTTTTACCCCCAAATTTTTATTTGGTGGGAACTACTGTAGTAGTCCTGTCCACCTAACAAAGAAACCAGAGGTGATTCCAGGGTAAGAGCTTGCATACTGTCTAAGCTACATCCCATTTCTTTTGGGAACAACCAGTTATTTGCTGTTCCATGAAGGCCAAATTGTACTTAAGGTTCTTCATTAACTACTTCTAATGTCCATTTCTCATTTTTAAAATTGGCACCGAATCACTCATTCTGGTTTTCAGCTATTAAGTTATCTGTTGGATTTAAAAGTTCTTGGGTAAACACTACCTAGTGTATCTGTCATCCTGCATGGTAAGTCTGTGTGGTTTGATCTAATTTTTTTAATCTTACGTTGGAGGAGATCATTGAGCTTTCCATGTTTTGTTTATGGTGAGGCTATTTTTTTGTGTAGAATTACTGGTATACTCATTTCTGGACTCAAAAAATTAGGTTCTCTACTGATGTAGGGAAGAAAATGCTTAACCCTTTTGCTCTCGGCAGCAATTTGATGAATTACATGCAATCGCATGAAGCAAGAGACAAAGAAATAAGCCCTCCCTGCTGGAGCTGCCTGGAGAGGAAGGTAGCTAATGGCAGTATGCCAGGCATCTTAGGAAGGTTTTTACAAATACCTGGATATATTTTTAAAATCCATACCCATTTTTACTGTCCAGAATGGACAACAGGATTTCAGCAGTAATTATTTTTAACTACCAGCAGTAACATCCCCACTGGGGCCAAGTTGGTACTCACTTCTAATCACCCCGTGGGATGCATGGTGCTGCTCCTGCGCCAACAGCATCCCCAATCCCTGCGCCAGGTTCTTGCCTGGTGCGAGTGTTTCGGGGCTGTGGTGTCATGGTTCGGATGCATGCGGGAGTGTTCCCTGGGAAGGCAGAGTCCCACCTGCTGGAGCTGACCTTTCTCCTTTGCAGAGCGGGCAGTCTCTTCGTTCTTTTGACTGTGTTTTCTTAGTCATGGTCTTGGGCTTCCTTTGAATCACTCAGCAGGGGTTGACAAGACACGGAGTCGAGAACATATGTCCTTTGGTAAGCTGCTTTATGTTTTAGTAAAATGAGGATTTCACAACTTGTGGTGCAGTTCCTGGCAGCTGAGTTCATCTGATGGCTTATTGCTGCCAGAAGAGCATCCTCCCACTCTTTCCCCACACAGTGATACCTGGTACTTCTGGTAAGGCTCAGATCCGCTGCGGAGCTGTGCTCTAGCCCTGATGAAAGCGAGGTTTTCCTCCGCAAAGGGTACAAAAGGGAACAGGGGTGTTGTCTCAGTGGGAGGCAGCATGCAGAGGTGCAGCCTAAAATCCCTTTTAAAGCTGTTTCTGGGGTTTGGGAAAGCAGCAGCTCTGGCGCTGCCATAGCCTTTGCAGTGGAGAGAGCCTTTTGTCTGGGTGTTCCCTGCCGCTGAATCACTCCAACTGTTTGTCAGTCCAAAAAGAGCCCCTGGTCAGATGCTCCCCGGCGCGTGTAATGATGCCCTGTTACGTGGGAATGACAGATTGCTGTGGTATGTGATGTGCTTTGAAACCACGGCTGAATCACTGCTGGATGTCCTGATGCTCTGCCAGCGTGTAACACAAATTCATCACAGGGGAAGGGGGAGAAGGGTACTCTGAACTTCGGCAGAAATCTCACCAGTGGTAGGGAAGCATCCTCTGCCACGGCGGCTGTGAAAGCAACATCTGCTGGGGTGGATCTGAAATGCTGTGCCCTTTGCTGACCTGTTTTCCTGTCAAGAGTAGGACAAATAGAAAACTTTTAAAAGCACCGGGGGGGGGTGGGGTGGGGGTGTGTTGTGCTGCGCTGCTGGTCTGTCCCCGCTGTGTGCAGGTGGAGTTTCCTCTGGGTCAGTTTTTGCCTCTTCTGGCTTGAGCGATGCTCCAGTCCTTGCACAACCCTGCAGCATCTCCCTGGTCCCCTGGGCGCGAGGAGGGTCCCTGTGGGGGGTGACGTAGCTCGAGGTTGCTGCTGAGCATCAGTGCGCAAGGGTTGATAGTGTCAGGGGTAGTCATGGTTTTAGTATATTCAGAAAAACATTAAAGTCAACTTGTAAGGTGGCTTACAAATACAAATTAACTTTGAAACTGGGTCTTAAGAGCATCTGGGTCTAGTGCGGCACTGAACATGAGGAAGGGAGAGCACAGGGCTGTGGCTCTCCTAGCACCCCTTGCACAAGCAGTGCAGCAGCTTTCACCTCTCCACTGAACTTCATGAGTTCCTAAAAATCCTATTTTCCCTAGCAACTCCTTAATTTGGTTTCAAGCAATTTATTTTGTGGTTCGCTTTTCAGCTCCAGCAAATCAATCACATGAAAGGCAGGTACTCCTGACCCAACAGAGCAGCTTTCAGAGGCAAGAGAAGCTGACCCTTTCTTTTTCCTGCTTCAATATGATGGGTATGGCTGCGTAGGGCTCTCTTGGGTGTCCGTCTCTTGCACCTGGCATTTGCTCCATCACCTTGGTCCTAGGCATCCATACCTTCAAGATCACCCTAGCAGAGTCAGCAAAGGTTTCTAGCCCATTGGGAAGGAGCCGTTGGTAGTCCACCATTCCCGTCATTAAAAACTTAAGAGTTACATCTCAGTCATGCTCAGTCCCTGTACAGGTGTAATTAAGAAAGACCCAGTTATTAATTCAATTACCCAGCTGTGAGAGCTGCCTTGCACCTCGGCATCCCCAAGTGTTAAGGGCTGATGACCCGAAAGCTTCCAAAATCCATTAGTAGCTAGATTTTCACTCGTGTCCTAGCAAACAGTGAGCAAAACGCAGCTTGAAAAGTACAGAAGCGGTTTTCAACCAAATTCTGAATTATTTTCTCAACCATGCTGTTGATGATGGATAATCTCAACCTGCTAAGGTGGGCTGCTTCAGTGCTCAGTGCTGCTGACTGCAGCCAGTTCTGTGCTGCTTCTCTGTCCTCTCCATAGCAGCTGCTCAGTTTTCTTGCTAGGAGGTTTCTAAAAGCCAAAACACACTTGCGAGAAGTTCAGTAACTCTGTATTAGAGTTAAATTTTGGGTCTGCTCCAGTCTCGTGCTGCCTCATCCCTGGCACACGGTGGTAGAGGGCATGCCGATCCCTCTCTGCAGTGTGTTGTGGCACACGAAGTCACCCCTGCAACTTGGTTAGAAGAAAAAAAATAAGTCCTTTCATAAAGGAGACGAGTTAATTTGTAAGGGAGGGTTTATTTGTGGCTTTTTTTTTTTTTTTTTGGCACTGCCTCTCCTGTGAAGTCTCCTCTGCAGCCAGAGGTGCATCCCCACACAGGGTGACAAGCGGCTGCATTCCACCTTGCCCCTGAAACCAACAGGGCAGGGATGGGACGAAGCTCTGCTGAGGTTTCTCCTGTGTGATGAATGTGTGAAAAATACCCTTAAGCATTCAGGGAAAATGGGAGGTCAGAGAGATGAGGCAGGTTCCTCTTGAGCCAAGCAGCTGGGCTTTTTCCACCGGTTTGATGCAGCCCCTGGGGAGCGTGGCAAGCGGGTGGTCTGGCCAATGTTCCTCCCATGGTGTAGCCCATTTATCCACCCCCTAGGGCACACATGAGCTGGCGTGTGATTTTTTTGCCTGCTGGCAGAAAAACCACGCTCTTTGCCCACCTGGGTTTGACCAAGAGATCTGACCAGACCACAGCCAGATGTTAACGTTTGTCCACCGATGCTTTTGCATCCCCTCCAG